TCCCATTCCGCGAACAATCGATGAGTTATTATCAGTCCGCAACAAGCGCTCCTCTATTCACACCACTGCCTGTATACCAAATGAGAAAAACGAACAAAAACTATTATTCACCTTTATTAACTGGCCGTGTGAATGAACGCTATCATTGATAACGTTATTAGAGGGGAAATAAGGTCTATTTCCACTAAAGCGGGGAGCAGAGCAATGACGTGGTGTAAACAAAGACAAGTATTTCGTTATTGTTACTTCCCACTTCTTCTTCACCACTACAGCACATGGAACTTGTCAAATTATCTTTTCGGGTGTCGGACGTAGTGGCAGTACCCCTCAGATCTTTGTGATATAAAGCTTTAAGTGGTACTGCAACTTCTTATGAACAAGTGTACCGCTTATCACCAGGCGCACGACTTGTTCGTCTCGCCAGTTTGTATTATAAAAAAATAACCATTCAACTGCCATTGAAACTTTTTGGTATTCTGCTCTACAATAACGAGTAGATGGCATAGTCATAAAAAACACACTTGACTTAAAAATACATTTAATTTGCAGACCAAATTGTTGATTAAACGAAATAAAAAAAAGATATGCGGAGTAATTTCAATGGTAGTTTTATTTTAGTAAGATAACATCGATCGTTAGTGATTGAGTTAATGAATATCGTTAGGGCGCATTTATTCAACACGCGCTCACCCCGACTGCGTGAGTCTCTCATGGCAAAATACGCTCTATTTATTTAACGTTTACGTTTTAACATAAATGAGCGTCTCGGGCACGCTGGCGAGACAGGCTTGAATTTGGTCTACGTGCGCGGTTGTATTATTCACAGGAATTTAAATGTTGTTGCCTAGTAAACAGAATTCAGATTCGCCTTTAATGTACACAAAGGCATGGTAAGAGGGCGGTCGCCGCGCGGCGGCCGCGCGAAAATTTGTCCTCGTGTAACTGGGCGCTTACGGCCATTCCACTGACACTATATTGAGACCCAACTGCCACTGCAACTACATCTTAACAGAATAACATATATTATTATAATTGTAATATAACCTCTGTGAACTCACAACGGAATTACAATGACTAGTGATTTCAACAAAAATTAGCACACTTGAGGATCTAGAGGGTCTCAGATAGCACGAGTAGGATCCTGCACTCACCACTCGCAAATCAGCACACTAGCCTATTTCAACACATCATACTATGTAGATATAACTAGGTACACTAAACTTACAATAAATCAGTATCTCACTGTAGTGTAGAGTATTCCTGGGTGCTTGCCAACGTCACGTTTGTACTGAAGCTGCATTTAGAATTGATAAAGTCGAAAAGACTACGTTTGTGGAGTTTGAAAAGTTTCAGATAAACTTTTTCAGACAATGCTATTCAAGTAAGTAATATGTAGCAGACAATCCCCATCTTATTATCTCATTTAATTGCCTGTACTTAAACTTGGAAGCTTACCTGTACTACGAGTAATAAATTACGAAACAAGTTGCTCCGGTGGCATTATCAACATTTAGACCAAAACCAATTTAGTAAAGTTTCTTTCCTAAATTGTTGCAACTTGGGAGACCTCCTCATTATAGCGGCAAGAGATTATAAGCGTAATGCCACGGAGACTGAGCCTATAACATAATTTCACTTCATGATTGTTTTCTCGACAGCACCTTAATATCTTATCTATAAACGCCTGCACAGCATTTTATTCGGTGATTCACTGCAACGCTCTGATACAATCCAAAATCTGGATTCTCGCCAATCCACACAAACAGTAAATTTGTAGGACTAACGTAAGGATAGAAATACAGATTATTTATACATATATTTGCGAGAAAAAATGCGTTTTAATAGACTTGACATTAGCGACAAAAATATGACGCGTTGAAACATTGACTTACAATTATATGGACGTCGGGTCGCTAAAAAGTGTCCGACACTATTAGGGCGTTAAAATCGTATACAGAGCGTTATTCACGCTTTAGTCTTCGTTTGTTCGACTGACAGCGAAGCAAGCAAAATTAGATAGTACTGCGATGACATTACAATTTAAATTCAACGTTTTAGCTTTTTCATATTCCTTTACATGTCATTACGTTTAAATAGGTTGACTGGGGACATTTTTTTCGTGGTTTTTGTATTAGACACGTCGTCCATTTATTTGTAAGTTAATGCGTTGAAACGATGATTTTACAAGGATATTACGAATTCGCTCCTCGAGATGCACAAATTTATATTAGTAGAAATGAGATCACTCAGAAAAATATGTAATGTTCAGCTATGTGACAAAGTGAAGAATACTGTGATCCGTGAACGAAGTGCTTTGAAAGAGGATGTGGTCATAAAAATAGAAAAGGGTATGTTAAGTGGTTTGGACATATGAAGAGTATCGTAAAAGGCATCACTGGGAGTAGACAGCCACGAAAAACATTGTCAGATCAAAATTGACAGTGTTCTAAAGGCTTCACTGCGTAGTGAATGTGAAGTGAGAATGAAATAAGAGAGGTTTATTATATATTAAGGAAATAAGTTGTTTTGATGTTGACAAAAGAAGTTAATATTTAGAATCCCTATGCTCCGACCTATACCTTACGATTGGCAAATCCTTACACCATAATGGCAAACATTACAGTTTGTGGCATCGATACTATAAGACAAAACTCACACTAAGTCCGCAACCTGCAAATGATTACCATTACGAACGTGTCTATAACCTAATTCTGGCCTTTAAAGGTGACCCGTATCCAGTAATGGGATGTATAGTAGGTTGATGATGATAATGGGGATTAAATATATCGTGACAAAAAGATTCAGTAAACTGTTCGAGGACGTATGGAGTTCCCAACACATATTAAAATAATGAATAATAAAATAGTTTATTGAATAACTTATTGTACACATGAATAACTAAAGACTAATTATGCGAATAAATGTAAAATATAACACATATACCTGAACTAGGAGAATCCTAATATAACTTAATTCTAAAAACAATATGATTAAATTATAAACGAAAAAATAATTAAACAATAAAATGCAAATAATATACCTACCAACAATGACCTACACGCTTAAATTAGACAACATTTATGTTGGGATAATTAATAAATTCTCTGTATCATCGTAGAATATATTTTGAAGGAATTCTTGGAGAATTTCTTAACCTTTATGTTACAAAAATGATATATGGCCTGTTTGGCGTTTAATTTATTGTACTAAAATGGCCCAATAAACAAAAAAAATCTGAAAATAAACACATTTTTGATGATACAATTTTGGGGCAGACAATATCTTTCCGTCGTTTGTTAGTGTTTACAGTACTATGTGGGAGTGCAATGTGCTGTTTGAGAACCGTGAACTTAATAAATAATTGCTTTACATTTAGTACCTTACACGACTTATACAGAAGGTCAGTGGGGTAAAGGAAAGGGCGGAAGGTAGAAAACTTTAGAACTTAAGGCTCTCTCAATTATTAGTAATGAAGTTTTAGCAATACCACCCCAAGATGTAATGTATTGCATCAGAACCTATCGCCTCATAAATCCTTATCACTGATGAGAGGTAATCTTATACCTTACTGATGTAGCTGATTAAAATCTCATTAATAAAGCCTATTTTCAAACGACAAAAAGTATATCATAGAGGTCAGAGGTAAATAACGTCACAAATGCGTCACAATGAAAGAAATCACAGTGATCAGTCGTCAAATAGTATCACCGTGACTTTTTACGTATTTTTTTATAATATCAAGTGACGGTACGAACGAGTCGTGTGCCTGATGGTAAGCTACACGCCTGTTCATAACAGTTGCAGTGCCACTCAGAGCTTTAAATCGCAAATATCAGTCTGAGACATAAGTTAACAAGTCTGTCCCCTGTATCGCATATGCTCTTCTTACAATGGTATGCATTTCGATTTCGACATTTTCTCTGGTTCTCATGGTCTCGGCTAGGAACACAATTAGAAAGTGTCTGTTATTCAACTATGCGACAGACTTTGTTGAGTTTTCTTAAAATACTTGAAATTTAGAGTTACTGTCACTTTTTTTATAATTTGATGTTTATTCAGTTATTTAACTTGGCCTGTTTTGCATGTTGTGTTCACATCAAGTAGGATACATTCTTATCGTGTCTCTACATAAATGAAATATTTTTACAATAGTTTATACCTGAATTGTATCCAGTTTTGTGACCTGAATAATAAAAAAAGTCCTACAAGCTGCACGTAGGAACGACATTCCAGAATCACATAGGTTGTACCTCCGTTCCACTGTCTCTGTCACTCACTGTCAATCACGACGTACAACCTATTTTACGAACAAAATCATGCGCGATCTCCGTTCTGTAGAGATTGATGATTACGCTATTAATTGTAGTTCGTTTTTATTTTAAATTCTAATTATCAAACAAGAAGTAAATATTGTACAAAAACAAATAAAAAAATTGTACAAAATGGACCCAGAGCAATTATAAACACGCCGCATGTTCTTATTAGCCAATAATGTGACAAGCCTGTAAAACTGCGAAGGTTATAGCGGATCAGTTTTTCAAATATAATTAAACTTTAAATATCGTGGTATAAGTGATACGTGTGACAAAACCACGATGATTTGTCACTGTGATTTTTTGTAACTGGAACGATAGTATAGAAATGTAACGCTTTTCCCCAAGTCTAGTATGTCAACATGATAGCAAACGTCATAAATTTACTAGACCTTTTGTCCTCAGTGGGACAGAAGCCAAATATACAAAAAAAAATACACCAATGATTATATATTACTTCTAAGCAGTCAAAAGTTGCTCCAGTCTACATATTATCATCAATACCATTAACTAACATTGCAAGATATTATCCCTTTATAACCTCAAGCTAGCAGCAATCACTAATCTAAAGGTGAAGTGTTTTATAATACAACTTTACAAGATAATGGAGTTTCATCGTTTTGTTACATTGTATTTATTATTTTTTATCAATATATTACACAAGAGTAATAATTCCTTACTTTCCCGATCCAAAAATACGTACATTTATATGCCTAAAATGTTTGATTATGTTGAACCAATAGATGTTGATAATATTTACAACTCACTTCAAGAAGAAGTACCGGGAATCAAAATGTTTAAAAATAAAATTAAAAAAGACTATAAAAATATATTCAATACACCCCTGCAAATTGGCAGGCGTGCAAATCGAAATATATTCGCGAAAAAGATAATTAAAGATAGAACAATGTGTTTATTAACTCAGCCACCTACAATAGATCGTAAAGGAAAAATACCTGACTTAATTTGGAGAAAAATGAAGTTATCATCTCCACAACCTCCTGACGTGGTTCTATCGTCATGGAAAGAAGATGATAATGATTACGATTATAGTGATGATGATAAAGATGAAGACAATTATAATAAAACAAACGAGATCATTATTGATTTCGAAAAACAAGTTTTTAAAATACCTTCTACTGCTATTACTACCACAGAAAAGGTTACTACAGTAACGATACAAGCAACTGCTGCTTATCAGAATCAGAGTTCTAACATAACCTTGGATCAAAATACAAAACATCAACTGCCTGATAATTTTGTAATTTTGAATGGTACTAGGAAAGGACAGTGTTATAGGTGTGGAACAAACACTGGCCATTCTGAAAATTCTTTTTGTCATGACTTATTTAACAATAACGAATATCGATCGTTGGTCGGATTATTACGAACAACTTGCTACGATAATCCATCAGTAAGCCACGGCAAGAAAGTAAAATGGCCTAAAGAATACGATAAATTTAAATTGTACCAATACACTGATCAAGGCTTGGAAACTAAACTCTATGGTTCGTATTCAGGTGGTTGCTTTAAGAGATTCCTAGATATTGGTAATTTCTACACACAAAGAGGCTGTAGGCAATGGCCACCCGATGGCAACAGATTTAGAAGAAGATATTTTGATCATCCCACTACTCAACTATATAGAAGACTGGAAAAGAAACTTGGTAAGAGCGAAAGAGATGCTTGTGTCTACAGTCTTCACGCTTCTCTTGTGCCTTTTTCACGAGATCAATCGTTGTTTGCAAGACATCATGTTTGTGTTTGTAAGGGAAGGTATTGTAATGCTGCTAGTAATATTATCACTTCATTTGTAAGTTTCATTTTAGGTGTAATTTATTTCATAAAGTAATGTTATTATTATGTTTATTGTTTTCCAGCACATAGAGGCTTACATTAACGTATTTACTAAGATTTTTCTACTACCTTGCAGGAAGTTTAGATTTTTAAACTGAGATTAGGTATAACCTGATTTAAAGCCAAACTTAAATTAAAATTTCAAAACATCCGATACCAAACTGTCTCCAAATAATCTCAGTACAGAGTACTAAAAAAACCGACCTCAAAAGGACGTGGAATTACTTCTCTATTTAATAAATATTAATAATTAAAAATAAAAACAATAGATAAAATAAAATTAATATTAATAAGTAGTCTATTTGCTAAGTTTTATTGAAATATCCTTAAATTCGCCACTACAGAGGACTTGACATTGGAGATAATAAGAAACGTATATTGAGAGAAAAACGCCTTGAATTGGAGAAATAGCAAAATCAACCATTAAAATAATGGCTCCTTAAGTAAAATTTAATCTTCATACGTGAACAGCCTCCCTTAGAGGTGGATAATTTTCTTCAAAATGGAATTACCCCCTTTCCAACAAAAACAGAAGCATGAAAATCGGTTCACAAATACCGGAGTTATCGCGTAACATACTTACAAAAAATACACAGTCGAATTGACAACCTCCTTTTTTGAAGTCGATTAAAAATCAATAAAATTATCACCTGTAAGCTAACCATTCGTCGAGAAAAATGTGAAATTACAGGCACATTGGACAATATCAAGTATGAAGCTTCATTCGCATCATACATCTTTTAATTTCATCGAGTATTGCTTATTTGACAGCAATCGCTCCGGAAGGACGTCGAACGGAGGACGAGATTACAGGGCCTTTGTTTGTCTGTACAAAGGCTTGAAACTTATAACCCTCTTTTTGCGTCGGGTGTTAAAAACGGAATACACCATCATCTATTCTTATCCATAATAATAGTCTATATTGGTTATTTCACCTCAGAAACCGTCTCTGAAACCACCAACACTGGAATATAGCAATCGTTGAACTTCGCAAACGCTAATCGACAAGGGTTAAGTCTTACTCCTCAAGTTTTCACATTTACACAAATAATTACCTCCTCCCTTGATCTTCACGGCCCCTTTTGTACTCTAGAGGTTATGATTAAAACTTCGGTTTCGGTTTATGCAAAGTTTGGCACAAAAACCGAAATCGGTTCTTTTCTATTTTAGCCTTTCCAAGTTTAGTTAACGAGTCTAACTTTTTTACTAACAACGTTGTGTCTCTAATGCACAAGTACTTTACCGTATCCTAATTGTGTTTTTTATTACTGATTTGTTTTACTATTCTACTTACGTTTTCTAATAAGTGCGAAAAATTGTACCCTTGTCGACTAGTTGAGGACAAAAATTTAAGTCATTTTCGATACATTATGTAAAATTGAGAATGTTTGAAACTTTAAAAATAGCTTGTCAAAAAAGAAAAACTGTAAATGCCCGTTCCCATGGTAGAGCTACTCAGAGCACTGAATAAGCAAAATTTCCAGGTACCTACGAACCCAAATTATTTACGTACTTTACAAAACATGTGATTCGGTTTCGGTCTCACAAAATTAAGATAGAACTCTATTATGCGCTTCCTCTTTGGTAGAATTGAACTTGTTACAGCCCTATTTACCTTTAGCCGGATCTTATTGAAAAACTTTTAGAAACATTACCTTGAGAAGAATTTAGGCAAGTTCGTCAGCGGTTACTTCAATCTATGCTTACTTGCTACAGATATAAAGGCAAAGAAGTTACATTTGGACTTAAATTCTCATTTAGATGACTTAATTCCTTTTTGGTAACATGTTTATGTAATAAGCAGAAAGAGTGTGTATTAAGAACGCACACACTTATAGTGTTCCCGTACTAGGGAAACCCTGTATCACGGGAGCCACAAATTACATCCCCATACGTGAGTATGGAGTAAAAGGCCATATAAATATTTCTCCCGGTCCGGGTATCAAACCCATGACCTCTGTGGCAGTCCAGCACGGTTAACCGTTCGGCAACAGAAGCAAATTAAATAAAGACGACGACGTGAATTTGTAGCGGCGTCCTATTAAAAATATTTTTTTGAACACCACAAGACAACAATTATTTTACATTATAATATATGGTAACCGAAATCCATAAAAATCTCTGTTGGAGTTAATTAAGAAAGAAATATTACTATTTTTAATTTTCACAACTTAACACGATGTAGTGACAGAAAAAAGTTTACAATTAGACCAAAGATCTTATACCCAAGATATGTTACGTTCATAGTAATCGACGTTTGAAATCTGTCGCGCACCTTATATAAGCTTTTTCAAAAAATCGCGCGTCATTTGCATTGACGGGACATAGATGATTATGATTTTATTGAACAGAATGGACATGCATACAATGAAAAAGGAAAACAAATTTATTTTGTTATTAATAAACGCGTAAATATTTATAAGTTAAATACAATCTTCTACCTTGGACAATGTTATTTCTAAGGTAATAAATTAAATGTAATAAATTGTCTTTCGCTATTTATTAAACATTAACATTCTTTAGTCTTGTGATCAAATCAAATAAAAAAAATATTATTTTTCTCTCTTCAAGGTGGGGTCAGCACACCATGTATTTTTTTCCACTCTCCCCTATACAACTGTCATTACCATACTCACACCTTTTTTCAGTCATTGTTTTCCGACATTGCAACCCGCAATCCTCAGTTTTTTCATATACAAACAAGAAATGATTGTATAATGTAAGGTAGCATAAACATGTACGTTACAAAACTATATAAATTTTCCAGACTACAATACAGTCAAAATTAATAAATTTGCTGCCTGCAATGCACGTACCTGCACTTATAATCTAAGGTTCCACTCACACTGGCGCAGAGTCGAAGCGTCGCGACGCGTCATATATTTCGCCTATAGCATATTCATCTCTATTTTCCCATTATTAAGGTACATATTTGTGTTATGCAAATACGGGATCGCGCGTCTCCGTGGTAGTGACGCGTCTGACGCCGACAACACTGTGATCTGGGCGTGCTAAAGCAAGAGTCGTCGCGCGCGACGACGGTTTGCATTAGCTAGTCTTGTTGAAAAACAGGACGCGACGCGACGCATCAACTCTGCGTCTGTGTGAGTTGAGCCTTGGAGTTCATGCGTTCTTATCGCACTCGCTACAGGAGTGATTTTCTATCTCTATCTACAATTAGCTACTGTTATTTATTTAAATAAACACAAAAATAATGTAATATTTTTTCGAATTGGCGTCTGGTAAATATGTTTACTTTAACGTTTAGTGCATATTTTTCTTAAAATGGCGCAATTTTACACATGTCGAATCCGTCTCTTCGCTTGACGCAGATTGATTGCAAGATCGGTAAATTGACTGACTTTCTAATCTTCACTATTAGGACGTTAGTAACACATCTGTCTTTTTTTATGTATAAGATCTTTGGATGAGACACATCGAAAATAACATATAAAATAAACAGCTCATGCAGTCGAGAATTTTTCAAATGTTACGTATTTTGAGCTGCTTTTTCTTAATTGTGTATTTTTGTGCCTAAATTGTGTATTTTGGTAATATTTTAAATCCAATATACTATTATTACTGCCTCCTCGGCCGAACGGTTACCATGCTGGACTGCCACGTAGAGGTCCTGGGTTCGATTCCCACGCCCGGAGTAATGTGTCAATACACATATTACTCCCGGCGTGGCCTACATTTATTGCTCTCGTAAGTTTGAGTGTAATTTGTCGTTGTCTATGTGTGTGTCCATTGCACCCACGATACAGGGATTACCTAGTGCGGGACTATGTGTTGCGTTATTATTATTTAGATGTACTCTGTTATATCTACAGATATTAAACTGAAAATTAAGAGATAGTGGCACCCTGCCTATTGGCCTTCATTCAAAACACGGTTCTACTAATTAATTATACGAGTCGATTTCAATTATTAACGTGAAATTATAAGACTGATTTAAATATGCCATAGTTCCGTCGACATATGTATTTAACGTCGATTCTCGATTTTACTAATCGTGTCCCATCATTGGTTCATGTAGTTTGACACGTGTCATTTAAATCAACTTTAATTGGTTTTTCCAAATGGCCACACCGTGAAGATAAAATTTAGTAGCAGTAGAGCTCCTTATCAAAGAGTTCGTCCAGGGTAGTATTACAAGCAATAATGTCAGCATTACTGTGTTCCGGTTTTGAATTGTAAAGGGGTGCTGGTGAGATTACAGGCACATAGGACTTCTCAACTTATGTCTCAGGGTGACGAGTGCAGTGGCAGTGCCCATCGAATCTTTGCGTTTTAAAGCTTTGGGTGGCACTGCACCTGTTATCAACAGGTGTGTAGCTTACCATCAGGTACATCAGGACTTGTTAGTTCCGTTACTTGATATTGTATAAAAAAAAAACGCAACCAACGAAAAAGTGTTACAAAATTAAACTATTCAAGAAATATTACAGTCTAAGATGGTATGGCTAATTAGACTCCTTGAGTTTAGGAGGTAAGGTGAAGGACCACACCTCGCGTCCCGCAATCCGCGCTCTTGAAATGAATAGGAATAAAACAAGAACAGGCGGAGAAATTTGACACAGTACCGACATCGATAAGCGCTCGATGGCGACTGACGAGACAGCGACGCGGGGCGTGTCCTTGAATCGCTGGGCAATTTTCAAGCTTTGAAATAAATGTGAATTTAATAACTATAGGGTTTCAGGTGAAAACCGAAAGAAGAATGGCGACATTCCGTGTATTTTATGACCCAGTGTTTTTGACGACGTGCATTAAAGAGTATTAATTAAATTTTTATTGAATAGATATTCAATTGTTTTTTGTGAAATTACTCCACTAGTTTGTTATAATTATTAATACAAAGATTGAACACTCTCTTCGACGATGGTATGCAAGAAGACGTCGGTTCGAAATCGACCGGATCGAAGGAATTTTTTGTGAGTGTTTTTTCTGAGTGTTCGATCTTTGTATTAATAATTATAACAAACTAGTGGA